TGAGTGTGAGTGTGAGTGTGAGTGTGTGTGTGTATGTGTATGTGAGTACATACCGTGCCGAGGCTGAGGACACACACTGGCGCGTGCCTGCCATTGACCAGGCTATGCACTAACGTGTCCTGGATGGAGGCAGGGGTTATGAAAGTCTCAATCCAACTTGGAATGTGTATATGATTTGCCACCAAGACCTGCCGTGGCATAATCATCTTCATACCCCATTCACTAGTCTCTACATTCCTGTCAAAAAGAAAAAAAGAAAAGAAGGGTAATTTAATTATTTTAAACCTTAAGGACAATATAAAAAATCATATATACACAGCCCCATCATGGAAGACGCCGTTGGAAAATCAACAGATATCGCAATCAGACAAAACATCTTCGCATCTTGCTTGGTGGCGTTGAGAGTAAGCGTCGAGCCTGGGTGCTGGGGACTGCTGTGGATGCTCAGGTTTGGGCGGAAAAGCCAGTGGGCCAGCTTCTCGTAGGAGATGTACGAGGCGCTGAGGGGCGTGCTGTGAAATTCCTGGAAGTGTGGTATGGCTTTATAACGAGTACCGTGTTTTGTATTCCATGTATGTGCCATGTACACCGTATACGGAGTGTGGTATAAAATGACATGTATGACTGCAGTTGTGGACGCTTAATAGATGATGTTTTAAGCCACGCCTACGTCTGTCCAGAAGGCCGTGAGGTGGGCGTGGTCGAACAGGGGCGTTGTGATGATGTCCAGGGCAGGGTGGAAGGGGTCGTAGCTGCAGCCGGTCGTCGCGGCCTCTCGCACGACCTTTTTGGAATGTTCACTCACGTCCAAAAATCCCTAAATAGAAATCTGGTTTACAGACGTGTCCAGTGCACATATCTATAACGGTCTCAATCCATCTTTTATTTATTTGAGGTAAACAATCATTTCATGTATATACGTATTGTGCACTTATGCATACATGGATATGGACAACTGCAGTATGTACGGATGTATGCATGTAATGGCTATGTACGTGTGTGTGTGTGTGTGTGTGTGTGTGTGTGTGTGTGTGTGTGTGTGTGTGTGTGTGTGTGTGTGTGTGTGTGTGTGTGTGTGTGTGTGTGTGTGTGTGTGTATATGTATGTATATGTATGTATATGTATGTATGTTTAGATGTACATATACATGTATGACTGTGAGTATGTACGTATGCTCTGCCCATTTTCCTCTCTCTAACCTGAACCTGAAGCGCAGGAGGGAGATCGCAAGAGCTGCCAGAGTGCAGATGAACTTTAACAGGAGTGTAAAAATCGCTTGACAAGACTTCTTGGAGAGAAGATAACAGCCTATGTTTTGGACTGACCACTTCGGCGTTCAAGCAGGCCTGGTAAGTGCGCTGTGAGGAAGATTTGCAGATTTTGTAGTAAAGGTATGAATGAGATCGAAAATCTTCACGATACAAGAGATGTATTTGAACCGGTTTCGAATATGTCTTCGTCAGAAATACAAGAATCTCATCCATACCCTTTTTACATTTGTCAACATGAATACGGTTCATTGATAATATATACATATATATATTTTTGTCAATGGAAAATAAAAAAAAATATAAGAACCCTATAGAGATTGACAGAAACCAAAGCAAAAGCCCGTGGATCCTCACCACTTGGTTCTCTCCCAGCACTCCCTCCACGACGTTCTTCTGGAACATGACCTGCAGTCGTGAAGCGGTCTTGTTGTAGTCGGAAGCCTGGGCCCAAGAGAAGAAACCCTGGAAGCTTCTCGAAGGTATTCCGTGGAGGACAGCCTCGATGCCGACCGTAGTGACGTGGCCCGAGTCTGTGAGGAAATATTGAGGATTTGTATGATGTACTATTTTGTTATGGTTTATTTTCATTCTCGATGCCGACCGTTGTGACGTGGCCCGAGTCTGTGAAGAAACATTGAGGATTTGTATGTTTCTTTCATTTTTTTCTCTGTATGTATCATTTACGATTTTTATTTTCTCATTTTCTCTATATATCATTCATTATTTTCATTTTCTAATTTTCTCTCTATATATATCACTTACGATTTTCTTTTTCTCATTTTCTCTTTATATCATTTACGATTTATTTTCGTTTTCGCATTAATTGATTTACTTTATTTTCTAAATACAATGGCGTCGTTTTGATATCGTGTGGTGTATTATTACGAACTTTTTCGTTCTTTGTTTATCGTTTAAAGTAGTCGTATTGCATCTACAAAAGGGAGTCGCAAACATAAAGGATATAAGCGCTACGTTGAACTAGACAAGGGTATTACTCACACAGCACAATCACCATACAGTTTATAGTGATAAGTATGATGTTCAAGGCATTTGTTTGCGTTTTTAAATCTACTCTTATTTTTTTTTATTTGTATAAGTAAAATTTCGAATTATCGAGTATCAAACAGATGTTTCTCGCATATTCAGTAAGCCACTTTATTCATCAATTTAGTAACTAGCTTCGTAATATCTGGTCATTATACTAAAAAGTATAGAAACAGTTATATTAAATCATGGTGGTATAATCGGGTTGGGAGCGAGGGGTTGGAGGTAGAGGGGTATGATCAAGTCAAGATGTAATAAGGGTACAATACTATGTATTTGTACAAATCTCGACTGAGTTCTAAGTCAATTATGTTATATATACGATCAACAGCGGTGATTCATGCAGGTATTGGAAAAGTTAGTATGATTAAAATATAAATTATAAATATGAGATGTATATGATATGAATTGTATGTACCATATTCCTTGAGAGTATTTCGTTTCTCACTAAATGTTTTTCGGATTGATCTTCACTTTTCACAAGCTATTAATAAAAAGAAGGATTAGAAAAGGAAAAATAGAAAATGGAAGTTTTAATGATCGAGAGAAAAAGAAGAAATTGTAAAGAGAAGAAGAATTTCAGAAAGAGTTAGATGATGATGGCATGAAGATATAAGAAGATAAGAAAATGACACAAGACACTGATATGAAGAAAACAGAAGATAGGAGAACGTAGATAGTGAGGAAGTAGAAAATGAAATAATATAAAATAAAAGAAAAAGTATGAACAAGAAAATAGAGAAGAAGAAAAAGAAGAAGAAGAAGAAGAAGACAGTTATAGAATAGAAAAAAGAAGGTATAGAAGACAAAAGATAGAAGATGTAGAGATTATTAAAATATATTGTTATTATAAGAAGAGAGTGATTAAAAAAAAAGAGGTATAGAAATAATTAAAAAAGAAGAAGAATAAAGAGAGAAGAGAGAAAGAAGATAAGAAATGAAGAACACACCAAACAACAACTAAAGAAGAAGACAAAAGTCCTGAAGTGAAGAAGATTAGTTAATGATGTAAGTATAATCCAGAAGATCTGATAGAGGACAGAAAGCGATCTCATTACTTCTCTTTTCTCAAAAAAGATACAATATAACACATGTAAAGGTATATTTTGCATGTAAGACTTCACCTTGAAGCAACCTACGAAAGAGGCAGTCAAAAGTATGCGAGTCCCGAGGGTCGAAGATCTCTCTGAGAGAGAGCTGGATTTGATAAGAGTTGCTAGGACCGAGCGAGACACTCGCCCACTGCTCTCACAGGAGGTGGCCCACATTGTTCTACACAACGTTCAGCGCTGAATCTGATACGAGTGTATCTAAGAGAGTAGGCGGATGGATCTGATTAGGGTTGCGTAGGGTGCAGTAAAAGTAATAGCAGTGTTCTTGTAATAGACACTTAAACAATATTAATGCTTTTATTAAGATAATTATATATGAAACCTGTACTCTCCTGCTTTACGACCGCGACTACTCAATAATCCGTTAAAATTATTATCTTTCTATGTTAACTTTTATTAGAGCCTGTTATGCCTCTAGAGTCCTCTCATAATCTTACCAGTGACAACAAGGCGCAATTTCCGATAGAGTATTTATCTTCACGGCGGGGGGCTATTTGAGTAATAACGGCTCTTCTTTATTGTATCGAGTCTCTCACAACATCATACTCCTGGGATCCTATACCGAGCGTCATGTGCTTCGTTCATTTATATATCTACGGATCGTGCCATAGTAAATCGCGCTCTTAACTAAATCATTGTGCACCCAAATACTAATTCTTGCGTTTTTACTCATACCAAGCAGTACGAAAAGTACTCTCGTTCTGGCATGACTCCCTTGGCATTTTACAGCTAGGGTTTCAATCCCTCTTCACGGTCTGCACCACGCAGTTTATACAGTCGCTCGTAGCCAAAACTTCATATCATAATACTCATACTACTACTCCCCCTGCTAATCCCAGTTTCCTATCTAACTTATGATAGTCATACTATACAAGGCAATGCTATACCCCTGCCTCACTTCCGTTACATTTTATTTCATTACCGAAGTCTTGTCTTACGTATCTTCCTATGTCAATCTATCTATATATACATCACACAATTAACCTCTACTACAGCTCGATCTATAAATCCACATCACACATGTTCAGTCACATCAATTAACATCAACAATTCAATTGTTATATTTTGATTCATTGTAATTATGATTTTTAATTAGCACATCATTATTAATCCATTGATCATATGCTCACTACCGAATATCTACATCTAACTAGATCATCAATTATCATTGGCAAACAATTCAACTATACAATCTAATTAATAATCCCATTCATCCACGCACACCTCAATCACAATAGCACTTATATCTACATAATACTATCTATCAATATCAAATTACAGCTAACAATTGTTCTCAATTAATCAATTACAACAATCATCATCTTACCATTATACTTTATTATTATTATTATTATCATTGTTATCATATATAATAATCATTTTATTATTATTATATTATATCATGTAACATTACATTACATTAGAATGATAACAAAAATAAATAATGATAAATAATGATAATATGACCACACACCACACAGCAGCAGAACAACATACGCAAAGATCAATGGAACAACAAATCACACACATTATAATAATGATGATGATGATGACACTACTATGAAAAAATCAACAACAAAACGTCACATACAATAATTCACACGATAATAGAGTAATGCAATAATAATATAATAATAATAATAAATAATAATGATAATGGATAATGATAATAAATAATAATGAATAATAATGACCAATGATATAATAATTATGAATGATAATAGAAAATGAAATATATGATCAATGGTAATAAATAATAATAGAGTGATTAATTGATAATGACTGCAATTATTATTATTACATCTATCATTACATCATTAATATCATCAACATATTAATTAATATAATATTCCTTAATGAATCATCATCATTACCATTACACCATCATCTAAGAATCATTACCTGCCATTACATCATCACTCAGATCGTATCCAGAAGTATATTTAATGACGTATCCTTAGTCTAGGCCAGAAACATTTTTTCCAGCCGCAATCACACGGAGAGTCCGCCCGTTAAGGAGCTGAGGCCTTGCGAGAAATTTTCGACGCGTGCTGACGTCGCTGAGTTGCGGACTCTTGACGAGAGGGTTCCTTTGAGTGTGATACCGCGTACACGCCCCTCGCATCCGTCGTGAGCTGTGATCGCTTGCGCGCTGGAGGGTACAAGGAGGTGGGGGTGGGGAGGTCAGGGCGTGGAGGAGGAAGAGATCGTTGTAGCTAGAGAAGGAAGCGTCGTGGCCTGCCTCAATAAAGGAAGACGCGTCGTGAGTGACGATATTGGGAGAAATGAGCCGGATATCGAGTGCTGGGGCCCATCGTGTGAGCAACTGCGGTTAAATTTATTGTGTGTTTGCAAACGTCTTTCCGAGAACGCGCTGTTTAAGGGCAGTACAAGGCGACAGACAATGTATTCCACGGTGGATAGCAAGAGCTCGGCTCGCAGGTCACGATGCGGCAACAAGGTCGAGAGGGCTGCACGCCGAGCGACACTAATATGAAAATAGGGATAGTACCGAGTGTGCGGCGTCGTAGAGAAGGAAAGGTGGGGGGAAAAGGGGAAGAATGAGGGGTGAGGAGGGGGAGTGAGAGGGGAAAGATGGGGGGGAAGGGAAGAGAATGAGGGGATGAGAGGGGGATGTGGAGAGGGAAAGATGGGGAAAAGAGTGAAGGAGAAGGGAAAAAGGGGAAGAATGAGGGGATAGAGAGCGGGGGTGTGAGAGGGAAAGAAGGGAAAAGAGTGACGAAGGAGAAGGGGAAAAGGGGAAGAATAAGGGACAGAGGAGGCGAGGTGAGAAGGAAAGGGGGAAAAGAGTGACGAAGGGGAGGGAGAAGGGAAAAATGGGGAATAGAGAGGGGGCGAGGTGTGAGAGGAAAGATGGGAAAAGAATGACAAGAAAGGGCAAGGAAGAAAGGGAAGAATGAGGGAATAGTGAGGGGGGTTAGGGGATAAGATGTTTTTTTTTAATATAAAGGGGGAAAAGGGGAGAGAGAGAAAAAAAAAAACATTATGAACACAGACTCGATACAATAGGGAAAGGGGATTCTGAATGAAAGAATATACCCAAATATTGCATTAAAAAATGCCTTTCACACATCCTTACAAGAGAAGACAACGCTCTTGTTTAAGCCTTCAAAGGTCACGTAGTAATTAAAGGTATGGAGCACTTAAGCAAAGTTTATGTTTTAGTCCGCGCTTGGAATATACCCAAATGATGATTGCATTAAAAAATTGGACTTTCACAGCATCCTTACCAAAGGAGAAGACAACGCTCTTGGTTGTAGAGGCCGCGGGGTCAAAGGTCACGTAGTAATTCCAAAGGTATGATATGGGGGAACTTAGTCCAAAGCTGTTGAGGAGAACTATTTTGCAAGTACCTGCATGTCTGTCTCACACTCAGGTGACTTGTGGTGTGTATGTTTTTTTTTATGCTTTTGCTCTGTCTATGCTCATTTGCTTGCACGAATACGAATATGTAAATGTGCATTCATGTCTGAGTAGGAAATGCATGCGTCTATATGTATGCTAACATTCAGGTTTTTGTAAATTACCATCCTAACTACGACAAAAAAAAAAAAAACTCAGTTCAAAATCTCATGAACACCAAAACAAAACTGGTCAGAAGGGAAATTCACCCTTACCTAAACAGGGAACCCGGAGCCTGGGGTTGAGGGACGTCGCCCGCCCACGTAGACTCGACACGGAGCCCCAAGGTAGGGGGGAGAACGGGCGCCTTGTTGTGGGCGGAGTTGTAGAGTGGGAAGGAAAGTATATTGTTTATTAGACGTGCCTTTTATTGTGTCCACGGTGTCTCTTTATTTACTTATTTGATACATTGTTATATAAGTGTAAAGAATAGTTGTGGACGTGTATGGTAAGTAAGATTGTTGTAAACGCAAGTAGGCATTATCTACTCGTCAGGTACATACGGAAATAGTCAAAATAACCTAAGTAAAATTACATAGACTTGGGTAAAGCCGCATGCAAGTCAAAACTTTTTTTTTTCGAAATGATTAGGAATTGAACAAAAGTAAAAGGAGGACGTACTGAGTAATTCTTCAAGTCCGAGAGCATGA